TTCAGCAGTTCAGAGATTGCTCCCAGCCTTTGGATAATTTCCAGAATTCAGAAAGGCAATTTTAACAATTTTTGCCACGCTTTTCATTGCTTTTGTGGAGAAGTGGATTTTTAAAACTGCCACATTATAGTTGTAAGGATGGAGTAAGTGAAAATGTGAAGAGAAACTAGGCAAAATACGGTACAATCAGAGCATAAAGCAATAAAACACATGGTGGCTACATTAAATATTTATATAATATAGCAGTACCTGGGGTAGGCAGCTCATTACTACCTGTGCTCTATCAGTGATGTAGAACACTCTGTTTGTATGCTTTGAGAAGTTTAATACCTTCATACATATTTTAAGAGGAAAGCTACTATTAGGTTATTGATTCTTTCTTCTTAATCATATGGAAACTTTTAGGGGAGAGTAGAATTGTACAAAATTCATGGAGAAAAAGTGGGTCCCAGCAAAAAGACTTTTGGTAATGTTTTTCATTACTGTACAAAAATTAAAACCTCAAACTGCTGGTGCAGGTCAAGTTGCTAATATTATTTTGTATAATTCTAAATATATATAAAAGAAGAATTCAATTTCCAATATTATATACATCTTTAAGCCAAAGGGTACCTTATCTTATATCATACATTCCTCCACAAATAATTTAAAATGTAAGGCTTTACATCCATATTTGAAAAACCAGTTTCTCTTAATCATTATTTTTACTAATAAAATGATTTGAGATCCTCAAATAACCACCATAGTTACCACATGTAACGAGTGAAAGTTTTAAAATTAATTATGTGATTACTGTGTATCTGTTTCAAGTTCCCTAAAGAATGCTTTCAAAACAGAGATTTTGAAAGCTTGGAAATGTTTATTTAATAATTTGAAAATTATTGGATTTCTTGCTTCAGATGGTTTAAAGTATTATATAGCCAAATCAACTAGGCTCAAACAAGATTTCACTTCTCTATTGAATTCATGTACTCTTAGCTCAGCCAAGCACAAAACAGCTAATGTCGTCACGTTTGAAAAGCTTTTATGCTGAATTTGACACAAAAGCAATCACAAAGCAGACAAAAAGGGATTTCTCTTTCAAAAGCCGAAAGGAGAAAAATAAATGAAAACTAGAGGCCAAGACAAATCTTTCTTGACACTGGGAAAAGAAAGTTTAAAATGATCAAGAAATAATTTTTTCACCAAAGAATCCACTGCCAAGTTTGGACCAATCTTAATAGCCTAGGGATCAGGTTGTGAACTCAACCAAGATTGTGCCAAGTGAAATAAATCCCATGGTAATCACTGGTGGCAGTTTTAGGTGCCAATGGTATACTATTTTTGTTCCTTATGGAGGTTCTAAATGGCATAATCTCTCCGAGGATTTCATTATGGCCTACTGGCAGGGATTTTGATTAGGATGGAAATCTTGTTATATTTTCCCTAACATCTGTCTTGCTATCTCATAGGCACATCATTGTACCAGGTGTATGCAGAAGATCAAAATAAAGACATGTGGTTAATAAAATCAAGTGGTTTCTAACTCCATGTTTTTATTTGAGAAAAACTTAAGGTCTATATAACAAAGCAATAATTATGACTATATTATGGATCCCTTTTATTATGACCTGCTCATTAGTAGTTGACACAAAAGGCTATCTCCATTGGAGAAATCGGGACCCTCATGTTACAGTATCCTTCTTCATGATCATGTTTTTGTTTTTGTTTTTGTTTTGTCATTTTCCTTTTTATCGGTACCGGGGATCGAACTCACCACTGCCTGCTTCCAAGGCAGGCACTTATGCCACTGAGCTAAATCCCCAGCCCCCATGACCATGTTTTAAAAAAGGTTTTCACAGAGGCAATCTCAAATTTAATTTATGTTACGTGAATGGGTAATCACTGCCACTATTTCTTAGCTACTATTTTTTCTATGAGGGATAGGTTTTCAAAATATCAAACCAAAAAGGAAAAAAGATGAAACAATAAAATACTATAAAAAACTTAAAATGCTAATCATTAAAATTTTAACAGCAACCTTGATAAGATTTATGCACTAACACTAAGCTTAAAAATCAGAGTTAAAACATTTACATACATTATAAGACAAATATATGAAGAAATAAAAGAGTGTAGATAAGGAGTTACAGTTATGAAAATAAATATATTCAGCATTAGTAGTGATTATTAGTGATTGGTTATGCTTTAAAGTTCAGGTATGGTAACCAGTGAACTTAATCTGTCTTTGGTCATCTTGATCTTATGACCTTGTACTGAATGTAGCATTATATATTATTATATTCCTAAATAGAGAATACAAACAAAAAATCCATTTCTAATAGCTACATATAGAAAAAATGATGGAACCATTTTTATGCTGCAGTTACTGACTGACCACTCAAAAGCAACTTTAAAAATTTCAAAAATTTGATCATGACACTAATCATAATACAATCCTGCTTTTATTGTTGGAATTTAAAACATTTCATATGTTCTGATGAGATTAATTTTGTTGGTTATTTTGTGTATTTTCTTTTGCAGTTCTTTGAAGGTCTTTACTCTTCTAGACTCTAAACATTCTTGTCATCATTTTAGAGTAATTTCAGGTTAAGATCCTTTCTCATTTTCTAACTTCTTTTTTTCTTTTTTTTTTTTTTTTTACTTTGGGTACCAGGGATAGGACTCACGCTGTCCTGCTTGCCAGGCACGTGCTTATGCTGCTGAGCTAAATCTCTGGCCCTTTCTACCCTTTAGAACAACTATTTTCCTAATTGATCCTGTCATTATATTCTTTTTTTCATTTCTTCCCCTCATCTATCTCAAGGGTTTAGTCCCAACACTTATCCTATTAATTCCACCTTTACCCACACTGATATACAATCTGCTAAATCCATCATATACTAAATTCATGGTTAGTATCTTAGAATTGAGACAAATTCCTTCAAGAATAATTACAAGGATTCCATATCTCAGACCAGGGACTACGAAAATGATCATTAGAAATTATTAATTCATCTATGCTCATCCACTAGAAAATTTTTATTATTCATCAGCACCTCATTTAAGAAAGAATTTTAATCTACCTAAATTTTGCCTCAAACAGAGTTAATAAGAATGAAAATCTTACATGACTTTCTAACATTCTGCTATAAATGATAATACCATTCTCATAGCGACTCAGGTCCTTTGGCAAAATGGTTATGACTGAGATTGGCTAAAAGCTCATTAGTTGTGTTTAGTCCTCCCAAAATAAAATTGGTAAAAAGTTCTGATAAATGAGATATGGTGGGATTTCCAGACCGGGCTACAAAACCCTATGATTGACTAACCACATCTTGTCTTCCTTTCCTGCAGTGGCCTTGGGAAGCTATATTTTAAAATGACAATTTTGCAAAATTGGAAGAGCTTATCGCTTAAGAAACCATTTGGATGAAGCTCTTAAAAAGGGCTTATCAGTAACATAATCAAATAATTAGTACTATTATCTTTATTGTATTTATCTGACAATATTTCAGGGGTTATTTCTTATTGCACTCATCATAGTTTAAATGGATGAATTCAGATATGTAACTTATTTCTAAACACTTATATTTTTTTGATGAAGAAAATGTAACTAATGACATAACCAATGTGAGATTCAAATGCTTATTTAGCAAAGGGCATTTTTACCAGACAAAATTTTTTTTCAAGTACTTGATTTGACTAACTTTTTAACTACATTTTTCTCTGGTTAAAATCCCCTAAGGGTACCCATTATTTAGCATTTAAAGTTTTTTCAATTGACCTGAAAATGCCACATTTGAAAAGGATAAATGCAAGTAAGGCCTCATTTATGGTGCTTGATTAAAGCATAATAAATCTTATTTCCTTTCCCTTTCCCTTTTATTTTGCTCTAAGGAATTCTATCCTCCTAAGCAGAGATAGTTGATGAAGTTAGGCGCTAAAGAAGAGTAAAGAAACAAGGCAGAGAAACATGGAAAGAATAAGTTGGGCTGGAAATCAGCGAATGGGAGAAGAATGTGCGTGCGATATATAATTGAAAAACAATTATATATGTTTAAATTTAGAACATGTATTATAGCAAATATACAGTGCATTAATCCCCCTCCCTTGGAACACATTTATCACATCATTCTTGCCACTCTCTAACGCAGTTCTGAAAGTCGTCTTTCATGAATGTTTTTAGTTGCATTGCCATGGCTGACTTGATGTCTTGAATTTATTTAAGGCACTTATTCCCTACAGTTATTTGGACTTTGTGAAAAAGCCACAAGTTGTGTGGTGCCAAATCCACTGAATAAGGTAGATAAAGACACACTGTAATGTTTTATGAGCCTGCCTTTCTGTTGGATAGCACTCAACAACAACATTCATCATATTTTGATCACACTTGGTAAACACACTCAAGGAATAGGACTGTCAGAAATGCTTCAAAAATGGCCAGAATAATGTGCTACCTGTGTCTGAAGCAAAGGGGATTGATGTCTTTCACTGTAACATATTTTTAAAATGTAAGCACACACTACAATTTTGGGGTGGGGGGTACTGGGGATCGAACTCACGACTGTGCGCTAGCAAGGCAGGCGCTCATGCAGCTGAGCTTAACCCCCAGCCTCCAACACTACAGTTTTTTGAACTGCCCTTATACACCTTATCCCTATACCCATTTGCTGTCTTCTTGATTTAGGACCCTTCAATAAAGTCAGGCTACTTTTCCTAGGAAAGAATTAAACCCCAATTTGACTTGATGCTACTACTTAAGTACAGCATATGTATCAACTGTGAAGTGATGTTAAAAGATAGTGAAATGTAAAAGCCAGTCCCCTAAACCCAGATCAAACAAAATTAATTCTAAGATGGAAAGTAGCCAACAATATTCCTCTAATCTCCACTCTGATTCAAAATTTTACTGACCATTACACCTTAGATGTGATTTTTCCTAAATCATTAGTTTTTAATCCATGGTAAAATTTTATTCCATGTAATCAGTTTGATTTTAAAATACTTTTAATGCTAACCTTGGTTTCCGTGATTTTCTGCTGGATTGCATCCGCTGTGTAAGGGCCCTCCTTCCACGACTCAAGCTTGGCTCTGGCCTGTCCTATGACCTGCTCAGCTTCTTCTTTAGCTTCCAGCCATTGTGTTGAATCCTTTAACATTTCATTTAACTGTTGCCTCCGGTTCTGAAAGTGTTCTTGTACTTCATCCCACTGATTCTGAATTCTTTCAACTGAGATGAAAGAAGAAAAATGAATAAATAGCAAAATCTAGTTTTGAGAAGACTTTTGAAATTTAACATCTCCCTCCTGTCTCACATTACATTGCTCATCAAAATATCGCTCATTGTGTTACGGCGTGGATGATGAACACAGAATTCTTTCTTTTTTCAGACAGCAAACATAAGTCTCTGTTAAATTATCTTCCTGAAGGTGACCTAGAACATCAGTGTGTACATATATAAACGTTTTAATCCCTAGAGCCAAATGTCAATCATCATTTTGAAAGGCATTATAGCCTGATGCCTACATCCCTTTATTCTTACCACTTCGGTGCTCTTGTGCCAATTTTTCAGATAAGCATTGCCATTTTATTATAAGAAGTGTTTGTTTTGTTATTTAATTGGCAGGCTAGCCACACACCAGGCAATTGAGATCTCCTTGTCATACTCAGGGGCAGCTTGTAATCAATGGCTGATAATAGAAGCTAGTGTATGGACTGGCTCACTTTACCACATGGGAAATTACTCTGGCACTATAGGACTACCAGTGGCTTGTAGTGCTATCATGCTTGATAATACACCATCTTTTACTGGCTGACTTCTGTTACCTGTCTCACTTGTTTGCTTTCCTGATATGTACCTTACCATGCAAATAAAACATTCACTCTCAAAACCATTTCTAGGGTGCTCTGAGGAAACCCAAGAATTGAGTACTGTTTACATCTTTTAACATTATCTAAAAACCCAGCCTGAGCATGTTCTGTAAAACTGACTTACATTGAAGCTATGTTTGGTACCATGATGTGCCTTAGAATGGAGATACCCTATAGATTTCTTCTCTGAAGTACTTTATTTTAGTATGTTAAAATAAACAGGGTTGTTTATTTCTAAACATCTTTTTGTCTCTACTGTTTGTATTTTGGATTTTAAATGTTTCCCAGAGGCCAGTGTGGTAAAAACTTAGTTGTTTTCCCATGACTCCTATTGATTAGGAGTCAATAAGCCATTAAGAGGTGGGGCCAAGAATAAAAACATTAGGTCTATAGGCACATGCCCTTGTCTGGGACATTGGGATTCTGTCTTCTTTTTGCTTCCTGACCACCAGGAGGTGAGCAGTTTCCTCCACCATGCTCTTCCTGCCTGCTTCATGGCAGGCCCAAAGGCAACAGAGCAAAGTTACCTTGGACTGAAGCCTCTGGAACTGCGATCCAAAGTAAATCTTTATTCCTACAAGGTGATTCTATCGGATATGTTTCCGTAGTAAGGAAGCTGACCTAACACGACCTTCCACGTGCAGCTTCCTCACCTTCCTCTTTCCACTATAATTTGAAGCAGCCTGAAGCTCTAAATAGAAGCTGAGGAAACACTGGTGCCAGCCTCCAGAACCTATCATCAGCCTCCAGAACTAGAGGCTGAATTAAACCTTTTTATAAATTACCCAGTTTCAGCAATTGTGTGACTGCAATAGTCAATGGAACAAGACAAAACTTTTCAACATCTCCCCACTGTCTTCCAGAACATCCCGTAGCTTCACATACACTCTCCTTTGTTACCTGAATTTTCTAAGTGGAACACATCACAACATAAACGGGCATACTAAAACCACCAAAGATTACATTAAAAAACTTGTAACAGCCAGGGACATAGCTCAGCAGGCCAGTGACTGGAAAATGTGAGGACCTGAGTCTTCAAAACATGTTTTGTAGCAATAGAACTGTTACTATATCTAGGTCAAAGAAATGAGGAAAAGGAGAAATACCCAGAAACAGAAAATCATGAGAAATCACACTGAGAAAGACTGCAAGCTTTTGTCAGGGTAAGTCATCCTGTAGCAATCTCACTGATGAAATTAAAAAAATAAATATCTTTATCTCATTTTGCTCATTCTCTTGAATTTTCTACCAAGCTCCCTTGTACCTAAACTAAATGGAAGCCAGAGGGCTTAGGAGCTCATTGATGACACATGTTCCCCACCCCCCACCCCCCCAATAGAAACACAGAGAAAGACACAGGTAGGTAATGGATGAGGAATTTAAGTATTCACAGCACAGCATCACAACATTATGGCATATTTCATGATGTAAGTAAAGTCTTTTTAAATTTCTATCTACATGTTGACTGTGTGTAAATCCCAATGTCTACCTGTCTCTATATCTCTAATATTTTATTTTATTATCATTGTTACTACACTGGGTAGAGGAACACCCATTGTTAGTTAATGGTTTGTAGTTGATTAGTTGTTCATTTGAGTTTCAGATTATAAAATCAATAGTGTAAGTACAACTATAAGAAAGCCATCTAAAATATAAATGGAATATATTTAAGTGTCCTGAAATATTTCTTCATTAGTCATAGAAACAATAGCCCAAAATCACAGTTTTGCAACTTCTCCTAGCAAGATAGTTTATTTTTTTATGAACATATATTAATTATACAAATTAATAGGGTTCCCTGCGACATTTTCATACATTCATATGATATATATTGATCATACGTGCCCTGCTTTCTATCCTTTCTCATGCCACTTCTTTTCACCCTTCTGGCTAGCTTCCTTCCCAATCTCTAATCATCTGGCAGTATACTTTAGTATATCTGGCACCATTTTAAATTAGTCTGTTGTATGTTATATGTTTTAGAAAATAATGAAATTAACTTTCCTTAAAAACAACCCACTGATCCCAATTTGTCTTTACCTTAATTAGCTTTAGTTATCAAGATTTTACTATTTACTAAGTAATTAAAACTAGAGCTTCCATTTGACCCAGCTATTCTCCTTGTTGATATCTTCTCAAAAGAATTAAAACCATCATACTCCAGTGATATATGCACAGCTATGTTTATAGCAGCATGTTTTATAATAGCTAAATGCTGGAAAGACCTCAAATGACAATCACCAGTAAATGGATAAACACAATGTGCTTCGCATTATACAGTGGAGTATTAGTCAACCACAAACAAGGAAAATGAGATATTTATAAGTAAATGGATACACCTTGAAACTATACTCTTAAGTTAAATAAATTGGTCACAAATCTGTAAATATCACATTGCTTCTCTGGTGTGAGAAATGAAAAAAATGTAAATAAGAATCAAAATGTATAACTGATACTGTGAAATAGGAAGAAAGTATACAGATGGGAAAGAAAACTGGGGGGGGGATGGAGAAAGGAAGGAAGGGAAAAGAAAAACACAAGACAAGGAAAACATAAACAAAGCTTTTGTAAATAAGGTGGGGAAGAGTGTTGAAAGGAGGGTAGGGAATGGGAAAAAGAGAATTAAGATAAATCATGTACAGGCATAAAACCTCTATGAAGAATGTGATCATTATATATATACATATATAATGTATAACTGAACTTAATTTAAAAAAAGAAAAAAGCATCAGGTTAAAATAAAAGTTAAAAAAATTATAATAGTGGAAGATTTTTCAGCCAGAAGTGATCATAATTATATAATCCAGCAATACAAAATGGTTCTTCAGGATATCTATCCCACTGAGGACATGCCCTTTCACTCTTGACTTTAGGCTATATTGCCAGCAAATAATTCTTAACTAAGTCGATTTTATGAGTTACAGACTCAACTGTTTATCGATCTAGCCGGATACTCAACATTTCATTTATCACCAACTAGATACCAGGCATTATGCTATGTAGCAGGAAGCGAAGAAGCCTGAGGATTCCCTGGCTTGTGGTCTGGATCTTCATTAGGCATAGTATTATAAACCAACTTCTTAAACAATACAGTAAGATCAGGGAGAAGATAATGAGTTCAGTCTGGACCTATTTAATGGGAATTTTTGAAGATTATCCACATAGGTTTTCATTTTAGACAACTAAACTGAGCGGCTATGTACTTTGTGATGTTGAGGATGAGTGGTTAACACTTTTAAATGCAAGAGATGTCACAAGATAATAAAAATAATAGAAGCATTAATTTGAACATATAGTTGATTCAGAGTACTATTTTAAGTTATTTTCATGTATTAATTCATATAATTTTCATAACAATCATATCAGTGCAATTTTATGCTATTATTGCATTTGTTTTTGTTGCTATTATCCTCATTTAGCATATAAGGAAATACAAATCAATAATTGCCCCAAGGACATACAAATAGTGACTGGTACTTCCGGGAGAACATGGCGGACAAATAACAGCAGCCACAGAGGCTCTCTGAGATTACCAGTTTAGAATCCAGGAGCGGTGCTGTGTGAAGAGTCCCATGCGAGGGGAGATGTACCTTGCCGACCCAGGAACAAAGTAAGCTGAGAGAAACCAACTGGAAATGCAATTCTGATGCTATAACAGGAACAGATAAGATCTCAGTGCAGAAGCTGGATCCTGTGCCATTGGAAGCCATGGTTTGAATTTCCTGCTGCCCATACTGCGTCCCAATCTGCATGGCAGGGAGAGAGGCGCGCCAAAGCTCTGAGAGCGGGAATCGGCCCAAACGGCATTGAGAGAGGGACTGGCTTGCCCTGCAGTGAGTGAAATGGGGACCCTTTCATAGACTAGGAAGCTCCAACAGAGGACATTCTGGGAACAGGCAGACTAGCCTGAACAAAGCCCTGCAGTGACTTTAGTTGCATATTCCCCTCTCAAGCGGGAGTAGTGGGGAGCGCTTGGCCTGGTGATGCCGCGGACTAAGATCCTGTAGGCTAGCCCAAATCAGGTCCCTGCACCTGGCGGTGCACCCTAGCAGTGAAGCATTCAGTAGGTTGACCTGGAGGGGCAGGCCCAGCAGAGGCTGCCCAGGTCTGTGTCTCCCTAGTACACTGCAATGGGCGGGAACACCTAGCCGGTGGATTCAAACAAACTGTAACAGACAAAGAGAAAAAAAAAAAAAAAAAAAAAAAAAAAAAAAAAAAAAAACTGGGCCTCCTATATACGCTTGTACAGAAGGAACAAAAAGTATGGGAAAAGGGAGCAACAAGAAAGGCTCCTCAGTCCCCAATCCTGAGAATACTGATCCAGGAAAGGTAAAAGCAAAAGAGAATGAAGACAGAAAA